ACTATGACTCAGGCAACCCTGAGCACTAATGTTAAAAACTGCAAACTACCCATTCAGTGTCCTCACATAGTCAATGAAAGCATGTTCCAAGAGGCTTAAAGCTGCATTTCATGCGTGATTTGCACAGTTTCTGTAGTGTGTTATGTTGATTAGACCCAAAAAGTTAATAATTTCATTAATTAAATATGTGCAAATATATATACATATATAGCACCCTTTCGTAGATCTTAGAGATTGTGGTCTAATATATGAAGATTATAAGGTGACAGTGCTATGCGGTGTGTTCAGTGAGCTACAGTTCCATGTTATTTTTCTCATCATTAAAGCTTCTGTGACCCATCAGCTGAAGAGTTTACCGTCATTCAGCTGGGGATGCTACAAATTCACTACTAAAGTGGACATGCGACCAAAACAGTCCATGTGCTCCGTGAGAAGTCAGCTGACTTCCTTAAAGGGCAATCGGACAACTCTACTGTACATCAACGCCACCACATCCTCACTGCCCATTAGACAGTTAACTTGAGTGTAATGGTAAATCAATGGAATAAGATTTCAATTATTAGAAACTAAATCTAATGAGTGAATCTCCAAAAAATAATTCTTCAGTTTTTAAATGGACACGACTATGCTGGAGGAAACATATCTGATTAATCACGCTCAACAGAAATACACTGAAACTCTCACAGCATACCTCAGTATTCATATTGCAAACCACCATTTGTGGTCAGCGAGGGAGGAGATTCATTTGACGTCCAATAAGCATCAAAAGTGCAAATTAAGTGGTATTTAGTATAATCTTATGGACAAAGCCAATGTCTCTGCCATTATTTGAACATATGTTCAAACAGCACATGTTAAGTATTAAATAATGAAAATAGCATGCACTGTTGCCTACAGTATGCACAGATACGCAAACACAAGCACAAATCTACACACCCAGGCTGAGGACACGCACAGGCTTTTAACCCCAGTGCTAAAAACAGGATTACACAACATAATGCACACTAAAACACACACACACACACACACACACAATCAAACTGTATTTTACCTGACAACCAGTTGATTAACGGCCAGAACAAGCAGCTTGACTGGACTAAGTATTTCCTTGTATGACTCCACTTCTCTGGCTTTCCCTGTCTTCACGTGTGTCGAACAAATACCAACGACTTGAACAAATCCATCAACCCTGTTTGTTTTATGCATGTCAACGGCCAACCTCCCTCCCGCTCTCTCTCTCTTCCTCTTACACTTCTTGGTGTGTGCGTGTGTGTGCGTGGTAACTCTAAACTCCAGGATCAGGTGTCAGCTGAGGAGGAGAGCTAAGAGAGAAAGATTATTAAAGAAAAATAACCTGACTGGCAGAAAGATAAAGAATACAGTATACTGAGAGAAGACTACAGGCAGGAAATAGAGGAGAGCAGGGCTTTTTGCAGGGTGCACAGGTGGACAGGATGATAAAATTTTAGTTTAGTGTGTGTGTGCTTGTATTAATCACATAGGGTTCAGGCTTTGGTAAAGTTTTATTTTGTGAAGAGAGAAAAAGCCTACAGCTAAGGAAAAAAAAGCTCAACTTTTATGTAGATACAAGTATAAAAAATAACAGTATATAAAAATAAGATAGCAACTTAGACCAACAACATTCAATGTCTATATACCGTAAAGCAACACAATGTCCTCCTAAGTGCCAAAACAAATGTGTGTGTGTGTGTGTGTGTGTGATGGCGTTAACAGTAAAAGGTGTGTCTTGAATTAACCCTCTATGGCATGAGGTTGCCCTCAACAAACTCTTTTGGCCCCCACATCCCTCCTTTAACTTTTAAAGTAAAAAATCATTGTCTGATAAGTCTGTGACCAATGAAATTTGAGATTGGAGTGGGTTTGACCTTTCGTCAGGGGGTGGAACAGTCCTTTTTGGGAACATTGCCGGCTTGGACACACTGCTAGCAGAAGGTAAGATAAATTTCACTTTTTAACATGTTTAAAGTTAAATAACTTTGTATAAATAACATCTGTCATGTGCATGAATATGTGAAGAAGCATATTTGATTGAGTAAAGATATGTTTTGTCTTTATTTATATAGTAAAACTGTATTTTTTTTTCATTTGTTGCCTCAAGGCAACATTGTGCACTTAGACCACTCTTGTTTGAACAATAACATTCTTATGGATGGATACGTGCAAGGATGCATAGTTATCGCCATAATGTTTGTTTTCCTTTACTATCTACTATTACTCACAGGAAATGGAAACATATGGGTGTAAAGAACATGATCGAGCAGTTAGGCTTATTCCTTCCGACAGTGAGGACAGTTAGCTTGAGGAGCGTGACAGTAAGGAAGAGTGGACCCCAGAATCAGGTTTGAGGGAGACTTAGGAGATCAGGGTCAGTAGAGTAACTTATACTGTATGTTATGAACATGTGTGTGCATGCATGTGTGTGTCTGTGTGCGTGGACATCAATGGGTGAAGTGAGGTATATAACCTACGCTTCCTGACCAGCAACACACAATGTCTATATACCATAAAGCAACACAATGTCCTCCTTAGTGCCAAAACAAATGTGTGTGTGTGTGTGTGTGTGTGTGTGTGATGGTGTTAACAGTAAAAGGTGTGTGTTGAATTAAGAAAACTTAACCAGGAAAATACACAGACGTTTGTGTTTGTTTTGCATGTTTTCACGTGTGTGAGCGTGGCAAATATTTTGCACCTCACACCTAAAGAAACTATGAACTGGCACTCAGGCGGAAGTCAGAACCACAATACACTACATTACAAATAAATTTAGCACAAACTAAAATGCAATAAAAGACATTTATAGAAAGCTGGAGGGGTTTCTCGTATCTAGTGTCTTTGCAAGCCTTGCTGGCTTTAAATATATGGTCCAGTCGTGTCCTGGAACCTGAATAAACCACATCAAATGGGTTTGCCTCATAGGACTGATAAGCTTCACTGGAAGCCGTCTTTACTTTAAGGATAGTCTGTGAAATGCAAATTATCTCTGTTTGGATAGGCTGTCTGTGAAGGGTAGACTTCTAGGGTAGAAAAATGTCTCTTTCGTTTGTTCAGAAAATGGATTACTGTTATGGATGGTGAATATTTACAGTATGTGACATCTATACTACTATACATATTATATGACATGTTTAAATGTATAATGTTGATTTTTCACCGTAAAAATGTGATTTTTCAGTTTCCGCATATAATCAATCACTACATCACAATGGAAAATTGTATCCATTTCATCCACTTCTAGCAGATGGCATGTACTCCAAGCATTATTGATTATATAATCAATGTCCTAAAGGCCTGTCTGAGTGGGGGTGATGCCTCACTCACTGCTGGCCTGTGATGCATGCAACACTGACATACCACTAGAGGACAGCAGCTCCTCTTTAGAAATCTGAAATAGTTTACATCACCAGAGCCTCATCCGAATCCATGATAGAAAAGGTGGGGGGGTCTTCAGCATTGGGTCAAGTGTGATAGTAGTATAATCTAGAAAACAGCGATGTATGATGGGGGTAAAAAGCAGATTATATTTATTTAAGAATACAGATTTGAATTGATTTGTCTGTGAGAAGAGTCCCGTTCTCCTCAACTCCTGGATGTGGTCTTGTTTGGTTTTGTCACTCTTTTGCACACTACACAAAGTCATGCAGTCGTACTGAAGCCTTCCTGGAAAAATGTGAGGAATTTTGTGTATTTCATACCAAGAGGGTTGAGAGGAAATTTATCTCACCCCCAGCTTAATACTGCAGCTGATTATGCTTCATAAAATGTCCCTGTTACAGATGTGATGAAACTGAGTCTTTAAAACTTTAGTGTTGTTAATGTTGAAAGAGTTGGCTACCATCATAACATTGTAATGATTATGATTATTACTTCATAAGGGTTTGGCACTTCTTTGACTCTTAATTTCATAATGCCACTCATCAGTGTGTGATGTATAAGACTTCCATAATACACATCACATGATAAGAGGAAATGGTACAGACTCTATTACAGTTTGTAGTTAATTGATGCTAATACATTATGTGGCACTTTCTGACCCATGTAAACTGGCGTCTTTAAAATTCCCTTTTCTATTACTTTCTAATGACATCTAAAGTGTCCATTTCTCTTTAAGTATCTGTCGCTTTCAGCTACATTTTAGTGTCCAATTGCAGTTTTAATTTTACATCTGTTTTATTCCCCATCATCTTAGAGGTTGAGGAGGAGCCCTCCAGATTTTTCCGCCAACCGCCTGCTGTCCAGACTCTGCCCCCACATATCTCAGACCAACTTGACATGAGTGTTTCCTGTCTCAAGTGGAAACATTGGAAAGAATCTCCTTCTCCAGGATCCACTGTAACAAGCTTATCCATTGAACTTCCACAGCTTGGATTGAATCTTGATTCTGGAGTTTTAATATCTCAAAAGGAAATACCAATCACTATACCCTGTATCTATAGCACACAATATTGAAGAGGCGCGTCAACCCTGACGACCCATGATAGTTTCTTGAACCAGAGGACAACATGTACATACACTTGTAGAAACTATGTAGGACTGCATTCCTAGTTTTCATACTTCCATTGTTTGTACACCTTGATTTGGCAATGTGCCAAAGCACATTTATTTCCAGAAAAAATGAGCTTTATTGTCTGTCAATAAAGGTAATTTGAATTAACTGGAAAATCTACCTGAGAAGCAGGAGCTTATCCGGGGCTATTCATTCTAGTGTCTCGTCTTACCTCCATCGATGGGAAGTTTCAGTAATCTGTCACTTTATATTCAAACTCAGTGTTGCTCCTTCTAATTACGGTTAATCACGCGCTTGTGCACGCATACTTTATCTGAGGGCTTCCCCGCACTGCACTGCACGTGCGTGTACAAACTGGTGGCTAATAAACTAGCGCGCGCACAGCTTTTTAGTTGGTTATCCCTCCGATGAACCGAGAGAGAGAGAGAGTGAGAGAGAGAGAGTGAGAGAGAGAGGCTGTCTTGACGCTTCCGGCTTCAAACACACAGACAACCAGCGCTTCACTACGAGCACAGAGGTCTCGAGCAGCACGCATGACAACAGAAACCTCCCAAGAAACTATTTATCCCGAGAGCAAACTGTGAGAGGATTTCACCGGTCGGTACGAAATGCTTTGACGATTTCCTGAAATATCCAGAGAGAAAACGTGGAAGAGAAAATAATTTTAAAATCTTATCCTCCTTCTTCTTCTGTGGAGGAGTATTTTTGGTGAAAAGGTGAAGACGCAAGAGAGACCGGCGGCAGCGTCGAGCAAGTCCGTTTGTGGAAGAACCCCCCCCCCCCCCCCAAAAAAAAGTTTAGATAAGTTGTTTTGGCGCACAAGGAGCCGTGCCTTTGCTTGTTTTGCGTTCCGAGTGTCAAACTTACAGACAGAGAAGAGCCGTCCTCATTCGGTGGTGTCTGGTTCTGTTATCCCAGAGAAGACCTTGCCCTTGAAGAGGACGGGACAGTGCGGAGGTAAGATAACACGGGACCCGCCACTGTCATGTCAGGACCCCCATCTGAGGAGATTATTGTTGTTGGAAAGAGTTTATTACACTTCAATACCTCAGGTGTAAATGGACAACAGTGAAAGTTTGCAGGATTACAGGCCTAGTCTAGTGGGGAACTGGGGGAACCAAACATTTTGAGTAGTTTTAAAACAATTTCATCCTTATTTTAAATTCAGAAATAGTTTATCCCTTCGAAATGGTTTAGTCTTGTTGAGTCTTGTTTTGTGCTTACAGATGCACTCATTTTAAATAACAGCTGCTTTCCAATGATATACAGCACAGTATTATACTGTATCCTCATTTTTCAGCCACAATATTACTTAGATACGGTTGGACAGCATCTAATGGCATCTCAGAGTTGAATCCACTTTATCAAATCAGTTTATGTCAATAACTCTATGCAAAAAAAGTTATAAATGCTGTAGAACATTTATAACTTTTGTTATAAACTTTTGTACTGCTCTTCAGTACAGCAATTGTTTGTATGTTTTGCACATCACTATTTACTCCTAAATAGAGCTGTAGGAGTAGGTGTTGTTTATTATATAATGTTATTTTACCAGCCGGCAACCAGATCCAAAATGGGAGCAGCTTTAGGAACCCAACGCCTTTTTTTATATAAGCATTAGATAATTAGTTTGCATTAGATTAGAGATCATTTCTAGGTCTTCAACTAAATATATTCAGATTTTTTTCTCAATTAATCAGTTAAATATTTGGTCTATAAAATGTCAGAAAAACGCCCATTAGGCCTACATTTTTTCCCAACATCATCAAATGTCAGTTTGTTTTGTCCCCCCCAAAAAAAGATATTAAGTTAACAGCAATACAAGAGTTTTCTCTTGTATTGCTGTAAAAATCAAAATTCTCATAATGATAAAGATTATAAAGATGAAACTGTCAAATGTGTGGCATTTTGCTTGACAATCGACTAACTGTTGCAGCTGTAGTTACTTCTAATTTAGTTTGTGTCCCCCTCAAGGCCTTTCCCCCCACTGGGAACCATTAGTGCATGCTTGGAGTACATGCCATCTGGTAGAAGTGGATGAAATGGATACAATTTTCTGTTGTGATGTAGTGATTTTAGATTGTGATATTGATATATGTTGTAATATACAGTAGTAAAGTTTCCGGACATTCTATCTTTCTATCTAGGAGTTTGTGCTTCTGGCTAATCTACTGGGTTAAATACCTGACAAATAAAGTTACATACATTAGTCCTGCTCATTCAGGTGTAACAGAGAGAGATAGAAAAGGGATTGAAATACTGTAACAGTACGTCAAAATATCTGGCTATAGGACAATCTGTATCTCCTTGTTTTATTGTCATATTTTCCCAGCCTATATCAACTGCTTATTTAAACTTAAAGGAGCAATCAACATCATCGGCAGTATCTAAACTTTTTGTCAGTTGTTGTTTTTAGTGCGCCACATGTAGGTTTATTGCCCACTTGTGTAGGCAAGTGGACAGTTTGAATACTCATACAGTCCCACTCATTGTGACATGAGGCTGCGCTGAAACACAGACAACACTCTGAGGTAGCTTACATGTGCGCTTGTGCCAGAATCTTCACAACCAGTATTTGTCAAAATTATGTTTCCTTGTTATTGCAGTGGCCAGTTTTTGGTGAGCCAACAGCTGTGGTTTTTATTATGATTACGGCATACCAGCAAAGAACTAAGTCAAGGCCAAGGTCGTGGTTTGCCTCACTATCCTGCTTCTTGTCTGGTTATTAATTGGTACTAATATTATATATTAAAATGTTTGGATTGTCAAAATAGCGCTCATGGATATTTTCTGCAGACACGTGTATCTTTTTTTATCTGGGTTACAAGTGGGTATCAGAGAGGATAGGAGCTTTTCTAAAGACTTTGTTTTTTGCTGAATGTTTTACCCAGGACGTATACGTGCATTTCTTTTTAAGCTGTTTAGGGTGCAGCAGATGTCCTCTGCTAAATGTCATCCAACTGTTCCCTCTTGTGAAGCAACTTGATGCTAGGTAGACAATAGCTAAGAGTTGAACCCAGGGTTTAAAATGCAACCTTTTCATGAAACTTTGATGGTCCTGTGGGGAAGTTGGACCTTTTGGCGATTACAGTGCAAAGAGAAAAGAAGGTCTTTGGGATGCAGCTAACCATGTGAAACATGCAGTGTGAAAATGGTTCCCGGCGCCCAGTGCTTCTTCATTACAGCAACTCAGCCGTTTCACAAAGTAAATCCACTACTTCTGCATGAAAGATTTAGAATAGACAACTACACCAAAATAGCCTGTAAACACCTCTCTTTCCTTTCACCCAGCTCTCTCTCTCTCTCTCTCTCAGGCCCTGTCCTGGCATGTCCTGTTGTTTCACTGAAACGTGATGGTTGTTGTCCATTAAGCAGAGAGATGTGATTATGCAGTGTGACAAAAAAGCTGCACTGGTGGTTAGTAAGCTACTAAAGTTGACAAGCCGTTCAGACTCTCACTGCGTCACTCCCCAATAAGGAAATCCCATGTTTACCCTGTGTTCATGACCTGATGTCTTCACTTATCTGCAATCAAAACACATCCCAAGGTAGCTTCTGATAGCTCAGCACAAAGAATGTGCTTGAAGGAGCCACAGACTGTGGACTGAAAAGGATTTGTTTTTCTAGACGTTGGTGGTTGAGTTTAATTTAGCTGACTGTTCTGCAAGACACAAGATATTGCATGGTGTGAAAAAATGTATCTGCGTCTGTTAGGCCATGCTACTCTGAAACACACGTCCCATTTCACTGCCAGTCTACTGAAATATTGTACTTATTTTACTGCCATATGAAAGAAAAAATTACTCGATATTTACCTGCATTTCTCATCAATTCAGGTATAAGAGGATCCCTTGGCATTTGAAATTTCATGCTAAAAATGTATTTGCCTAAAGTCTAGACATATTTTTCACAGTTCTTCATAGCAGTAATATCTTGCTCATTCTTATGTCACATGTTATGCAAAGCAGACTTTTAGTCAGACAGTCTTGACAATCACTCATCTGTCTTATCAGATATGCAGTGCTGGAGCTGTGGACATCAGTACAGTTGGTATTTGTAAGCTTAAAAATAATTTTGTCACTCACTAAAATGATGAGTCTGTCCATCTAATTCACTTGTAGATTCCCTTCCTGAAGCTCACATCCCAACCATTTTGATTCAGAAACTAAAATGTTTGGTTTTGGTTCCCGAAGGTCTCTTTCTTACGTTTAACTAGACCCTTGTGCTGTTGTGGTCAACCGATTGCTGATGACCCATTGCAATGCTGATTTTTAGAGAGCAGAGCTGATGAAAATTTTAATTACTCCATGCAGAGTACATGGTTATTTTATCCAGTAATGTGTTGTTTCAGATAGACTTTTTTATTCATTCGTTTTTTAATTAATTAGTAAGAGAAACATATATTGGGTTCTGCTGTAGATTTCAGAATGTGACTGGTGTCATAGGAGAGCGGCGTACAGTTTGTCGTGACATCATTCAACTGCATTATTCCCAACAGTATAGCAATATATGTTTAACACTAGATGTGCTATAATTTAGGATGATTAATCGGTGCAGATTATCTCAAAATGCCAGATATCGGCCCCATTAATCGGCCGACCGATTATTCGGTTGCACAGCTAAAGATCAGTACATGACTTTCTTGAAAACCAAGTTTAACAAGTTGATTTTAAATCATATGATAAATAAATAAATAAGTCACATGTTTTTGATTCTGTCTCGCTCCATGCCATTAGCGACAAGTCTGTTTCAAGACATCCGTAAAATATTTGAACAAAGGACCTTTTCAAACGAGGGTCCTGTGACATGAGAATGACTTACAGTGTCTTGAAACAAAATCTGAATACAAGAGCGCCGAAGTGTCATAGTGAACACGCAGAAGGAGAATTGCTCATTCGGTCACTTTGGGTGTCTCCACACATCTTAATCTGCATTTTCGCCATCCTTTACCCCTCTGTCTCGCTACCCTTCTCCTTCTATGTTTAATTCTGCTGCTGCTACGTTTTATCTGTTTTATCCCTCTCTACCTCCCTGCCTCACTTTACCCTCTGCCTCCTGCCCTTTCTCATTCTCCCTCTCTGAATGTGTCTATGTATTGCCATGTTTCTGCCCTTTTCCATGTGCCTCCCTCATTTTCTCCCTGAAAGAATGTTACCTTAAAGTTATTTTTTATTTTTAGACCAAAGCAAATTTCAAACAGACAGCGTGGAGCTACAGGGTCGAGGTGAGCCAAAGATTGCCACAGTTTGGTCAGGCTGAACTTTGGCCATTGTGTTGCTGCTCCTTTTAGAACATAGTGGGGTACAACTGTGAAACAAGAGTACGAAAGGTTCATACAGTTAAATATGTTAACTTAGTTGGAAAGGAGGAATTCAAAGGCCGAAGGGACTCAAGGACGAAGACAAACATGAGTTTGAATAAAATTAACATTATACACATGCGGCTTCTACGAAACATGAAACAATAGAAAAGGCTAATTGTATCCAGTGAGTGGAACATGTCCCTTTCTCATTTTCTTGCAATATGGTTCTCTATCTCTGCCTGTCCCTCTTTCTAACCCCTTTCCTTTATTTTTAATCCCAGCTCGAACACAGATATCTTTCATTTTGAGTTCACGACAAGACTACATGAGTTATCTTCTTTGTCCATGACGCAGTTAGATCACTTTCCAGGAATGGAAAATTGAACTTCAAGTGTCTGTCCTTTTTGGAAAAAGGCTTTTATTTTCTCATGTTGTTACGCACTCCGTGCTTTTTCTATAATCGGAAAGGTTGGCCAGAGTAAAATGAACTCTCCTCTTCCTTTCAGCGGTGAGTGCAGATTTTCCTGCAGTGCGGAGCTGCCGCTGCTGACTGAATGCAGGGGACACACTGAAAGCTGTTCTCCAGACCTCCCTGCTGCTTAAGGGGAGACTGCCAGATGTGTACCCAGCACTCAAAACCCCTGGCCTGGCCGTGGGGATGGCAGCCTCTGCCCTGAACCTGAACGGCCTTGGAGTCATGAACAGGTCAGTTTTTTTCCTATGGTACATTTTGCCTTTTGTTGTTTTGAGACGGCACCGTTTCCCTGGAGAGTTTTTGTACAGGAAATGCATATTTGAAACATGTTCGGTCAGTATGGCTTGGTGCAGCTATGAGGCTGTTAGACTGGACTGGTGACATTACTTTTTTTTATAATACAACAGACAGACAGAACTTCCTTTTAAGAGGCAGAAACCTCGAGCAGAACCACGGCTCAGGGTGGGCGGCCATCTGCCTCGACCGGTTGGGGTTGGGGGAAAAGAGAGAGAGAGAGAGTTTGAAATACAGACAGTAAAGGTTGTAGTGGTACAGACTGAAAATGAATAATGGTACAGATAATTATAGTAATGTTAATGATAATAATAATAACAATAGTACTAGTAATAACAAGTGTAGCAGAGGGTGTCGAGCAGGAACATGGTAGCAGCAGATCCAGACTCCACAGCTCCAGAGCCAGAAACACCTGCAGAAAGCAAAAAAATTATAAAGTCGTCCTGCTGCCATGTTGATCATTACATTAAAATATTGTCTAATCACTTGTAGAGATGCATAAAATATGCCTTTATTCAGCAGGCCATTTCTCTATTACTTTGATTCTGTAATGTCAGCTTTTGGAGTTCCATGCTATGAATGTATTGATGATTGGTTTGTTGTAATCAGATTACCATGTAATTACTTCAAAGTCCTAATGGTTAGACATTCTGTTTTGTCATGTGAGACTAACATTATTTAAGTTTTTAACATGTAATCTTCTACAGTATGACACGTTTAGGTTTAAGAGGCAACAAGATGTAACACATATATTACTATGATAAACAACCTTCCCCTCTCCTCACCCCGTCCCATCCTATTCTATCCTCTCCACAGCAGTAATCAGTTTCACACCCAGCCAGGTTCCTCCAGTACCACCTCAGGAGCTAGAACCAGTCCAGTCGGTCGACCTGTGCTGCCGGTTCCAGAGCGGAGCACCTACTGTCAGTTACTGGGTGGGGGAGCGCTTGGTGGAGGTGTCTACAGCCCAACCAGCCCTCAGGTAACTCAGTTGTCACATCCAGCCTGTGGGAGCAAATTTGAAAACATTGTTTTCTTGAATAGATGAATTTATTAGACAGTAAAACACTTTTTTTGGTTTTGCTGCTACTGCCTTACTTGGTCTGGTATGATCAGTAGCTTATGGTGGCTAATGTTGGTTTGTGTAACTTGCATTTACTGAGTCAGTTTGCTGACGATACAACTCTTCTACTTGCGCTACTGTTTCACTACGTTTTAGCATTTACCGTGATGAAATAATTTTCTCTTGTGGCTACAGTGGCCACTAAAGTTACATAATCCCACTTTAAAGAAAACACAGAAATAACTGGAAAAATAAAGGAAAGAAGAATAAGTAACTGCTTTTGTTTGTACTGATAGGTTTTTCAGCATGTTGCTAAATAACTGAAGATCATTGTCTCTAAACCCGTGTATTAACATCTACTGATATGAGCGAGTCATTTTTGAGGGGCGCCCCTTATCCCGTTTTGTGTTTGCTCCTAGACGAGCCCTCGAAACCTGGGTCGAACCTTTGTCTTCCCCCCTTCATCCTCGCTCTCCCCCAGCCACACCCCTCATGCTCGCTCCCCTTCCCCGCGAAGCCCAGAGCTCCTGGGAGTCAATGTGGGCCAGCGAGTCCGACGACTGAGCTCACCCGGCGGTGAGGAGAGAGAGGAAGGCGAAAGGCAGGAGGATTGGGGAGGAGAGACAGCAGGAGGAGAGAGGCGAGAGGAGAGGAGACGCCAGGCACAGCTGCTGCAGATACACAGAGAGCTGCAGAACGTTGAGGTGATTTTACACGTGCCTCTCTCTTCTTTGTTTCTTTAACTGTATACGTCTACATCTACCCCTTTGTCTGCCTTTATCTAGAAATGCAATCATTTAGCAATATGGAGCAATGTATTCAAACTCTAAAGGATTAACTACATTATTCTGATTAGTTGGGCCAGTCAGAACAATACAAGTAAAAAATACTCTGAGCTGTGGTGATCCCAAAATGCAACAGTTATTCATTATTTGAAGGCTGAGCAGAACAAAAGGAAAAAGCTGGTAAACCACATGAGTGTTAGGACTGATGCTGATGCAGAATTCAGCTGTTTCTTTTACTTTTGTTTCTATTTTTATTTTTTCTTAAAGGATAATACTCAGTATCATACTTAATAATAATTGATTTCCAGTCCATTATCATCTATCATTCCTAAAATCAGATAATAGTCTCTCCAGTTATTGATCTTGTGAGTCAATGTGACTTTTGTTAACTTGTGAATAAATATTAATTACAATTAAACATTAATTACACTAAAGATAGACAAAAATGTGATTCTCAGGTTTAGTATCAATACAGGTTATTTGTTGCATTTGTACTCCTTCTCTTCTTTGTATTTTGTTGAAAGCCAGCCTACATTTTTACTAATTTGTTTGAAACTGCAGTCATACAATAGATTTGTAGCTTGCCAACACTTCATTTTTCAAGACAGTCTGCCAAACATGAGAAACCACTAGAGTTGAGGCTCATTTATTTTTCATTTATTACATTGCTAGGATATTACAAGGATATTTTGCCATTTTTGTCATGTCAGTTTATCAGTCTTACATCAGCAAAGGTTTCACTGATAGCAGTGCACCTGTGAAATGATAAGCAGCCTAAGCCAAATATGACAAAAAAAAGTAAACTTCTCTACAGTTAGACCAAGGAAACCAAAGTGTAGCTGCATTAAGTCCCTTATTTTTTCTGTGTCTTTCAGGTCAGGGGAAAAGTGGGCATTTTCGAGGCCCATATTTCTGGAATTCGTGCCCAGGTGTTTAACAGCGAGCTCCAGCGCAGCCCTCGGTCTCCAAGACGAACCCTTGAATGCTCAGTGACCCACCCACAGGAGAGTAAAGTTTTTCCTGTTGTTCAAAATGGAAGAGAAAGGGAGGGAGAAACTATGGAAGGAGAAATGAGAGAAGGAGGGAATGAAGGTGAGAAGGACAGCAGTGCTACTAAAACGAACACTGAGAACAAGACACTGATTGATCAAAATGGCCGGCATTTAGAATCAACAATGCAAACTCCCTGTTTAGATGGACCGTTTGCTGTTCAGGACTCCCTTGAGACATTAAATCCAAATGCAACAACAGACAGAGAGATAAAAGAGGGTGAAAGACTGCGGAAAAAGGAGGGAGAAAAAGATGCATGGGAGGTAGAAAATGAAATAATGCTGCGAGACGAAAGTCAACGGACAGAGAGCAAAGTGACAGATGAGAAAGAGGGCCGGTTGTGTCTTGAGACACTGCGCCAGACAGAGGCAAAAAGATTGGAGGTTAACCCTGAAACCACTGCTTTTCCTCGGGCACAGAGTAGTGAGAGCTCCCCTTGTTTGCTGGACATCACAGATCACGGCTCGAACCACTCTCCCTCCATACCTGCAGTCATAATAACAGACCATGGTTTGGAAAGTCAACCTCAAACTTCTGAAGGCCCCGGCTCAGACCAGGGACTATGCAGCTCCCCTAGTCCCAGTTCCAGCCCTGTCCCTGGGCCGAACTCTTCAAACCGCTCCCTCAGGAAGCTGTCGTCCTCCTCTGCCTCCTCGGCTGGTTTCTCCTCGTCTTGGGAAGAGTCGGAGGAGGATGTTTCCAGTGATACAGAGAAAGGAGAGCAGCTTCTCAACCCTGCACTCCTCAGTTCCAAACAGAAAGCGGTAAGTGGAGTCAAGTGAGAGTGTGTCTGCCAGTGTGTTTGCTTGGATCTACAACCTGCCTGCGATTCACTAGAGCTTTTGTAGTTTCAAATGGCAATGGGCTTTGGAGACTACATTATATCATCCACATGGAAAAAGTCAGAGAACAGGTCTGCCGGTTGGTTTGTCGGTGGGTCACTTTGGTCCAGACTGAAATATCTTAACAACTATTAGATGGATTGCCATGACATTTGGTACAGATATTCATGGTCCCCAGAGGATGAATCCTACTTTGGTAATCCCCTTACTTTTCCTGTAGCGCCACCTGCAGGTCAAGCCTTTTATCTATCCTGTGAAATATCTCAACATCTACCTCATCATTTGTACATTAAGCTAGCATTTTCTTAGTGCGCTAACACACCAAACTAAGATGGTGAACATGGTAAACATACCTAATAAACATTGGCATGTTAGCATTGTCATTGTAAGCATACTAGCATGCTGATGTCAGCATTCAAAGATAGACTTTATAAAAGAAGTGGACGAAGCGTTTTAAAGCCTCGAGGCTGGCATTTTGGCAGTTGCCATCTTGGTTTTTGGAACCAGAAGTGACCATATTTGGACAAGAGGATTGAGCTAGCTAGCTTGGTTTGTAAGGTGCATCTGTAATTCACATTAACTGTAACGTGTTACAGACTAAAAACAAAATGCAGCTACTTACCAGAAAAAATCCAGACTCCTTACAATTCTTGTCGATCACAAGGTAACCACACCCTAAAGCATACCCTGCTTTATCATCTATGTTCCCATAAATGGGACCATAATTTACTAAATGAACATCATGCTGTTTTTAAGAAGACTTGAAACTAGAGATTGAGACCATAAACTCATTAGGAAAGTGTTCACAGAGGTAATAAATCAAGTAAGATTGTCATTAAGTCCAATGCAATTGGACTTCTTTTTGCAGCCAGTGGAGTGGCTGCATGCTGGTCTTTAGAAAGAATGCAGGTTTAAGACACTTTTGCATTGGCTTCAGTTATCAGACCCGGAGGTTGCAGCTTGCATTTAACTAAACGCACCCCTGTCCCTAAGCACAGGCTCACAAAGCCAGAAGCATGGCTGTAGACTTGTACAGTTGAATTTTAAATGTCAGCTGAAATAAAGGTTCAGCTGTACAGAAATACAGATTCACAATACAGAAGTATTCATATTTGTGAAAAGTGAAAAGTCCTGTAAGTTCCTTGGTGGCAACCTTGATGTTTTTGATCATTTTAAATAATCTAAAGAGCTTGAATTGGCAATTTTGCAGCTAATCTTGCCATATTGGGAAAGACTGGGTGTATTGACGCGGGTCTCTGTTAACGATTGTGCCTCAGAATGTGTGTATGTCAGTGTATGTGTGTTTGAATGTGCCTGTGCATGTTGCTGGGTGCTCTTGTGTCAAATTGGCCAGAGCATTCTGCCTGAGTAATGGTTGACATTCACAGTAACAAAGCTAGCTCTGTGCCCCGACCTGTGTGTGTGTGTGTGTGTGTGTGGGTGTGTTTTTAGTGTGTGGGTAATGTGAGGGAGTGTGTGAGAGCGAGCACGGGTGATAGAAAAAGGGAAAGCAAAGAGAATTTGCCAGTCACACACACTTAGGCTTTGCCTGCATTTGGATGCCGTTCAAAGAGGAGGCTGAAGCCTGTTTGGGTATGCATGTGTGTAGGTGGGTGGGCGGATGTGTTTTTATTTGTAGCCAGGATAAGTTCACGAGGCCATCTCACTTCTGCTTTGAAACACGATTTAACGAAGGATTGTATAACTGATTTTTACCCTTGTTTCTTAAACAATGTGCCAGTCCCAAAAGTGGCCCTTTTTTAGGACTTCACACTGCAAAAATATTTTCTTTTTGGGTTTGCTTAAGAAATGAAATGCTCACAATCAATCAGTTAACTATCAAACTATAAAACGTTGTAGAATATGTAATTTGGAGATGTGGTCCTTCTAATGGTTCAGACTTAATTTTCCATGTTAGCTTTCATTATGAGAGGCAGCAGCAACAAAAGAAAATTAAATGTTCTTGTCAAAATCATATTTCAGTGAGATTTATGATTTATGAGGTGTCTTTTTTTTTTTTTGGCATAATTAATGGAATGACCCATCCTTAAACCAATGTCACGGATTACAAAATATTTGTTTAAATGAATTTGGCTGATGAATTTGAATAGTGTTTGTTTTGCATATTTCCAGTCATTGTTTTTTGGTTAATCCTGGTGAAGAAGGAGACAGAAGCTCCTGCTGGCGGTTGCTGATGACTGGGACAGGGTTTAGTATACTTGTAGAAGGCTGGATTTCCTCCATGGTGCCACAAAGATCAAAACATGCGGGTAATTCATGTTCTTGTCTGTAGCCTGTCACAGTTCCTGAGTTTAAGGGAACCTGGTGTATGTGCGCGAGAGGCAAACATGCAGATACACATAAAGCACGCTTGCTTGTGTGGGAGGTATGTAGGATTGAGGACAGGGAGAGATAGAAGAGGAGTGATACTGAGAGAGGTAAAAAGAGAGGCGAAGAGAGAGACTAGCAGATCGAGACAAACATAAAAGCAGAACGTTGCACAATATTTCTGTATATTAGCTATGTTGTCTTAAACTGACATTTAAGGAAACATATCTACTCTTCTCGTGGCTTTATTTATTGCAGGACGAACTTGGCTTTATTTGGCGTATAACAATGAACATCACATCCAGCACACTTTAACAACATTTTACAACATTTTACATACAAGATGTGTAGTGTAGCTCTGGTAGCTCTATATACACAATGAGGTAGCAGAGAAACAGAGAAAAAATGTGCAAGGAAAGGACAAGTTCCCGCATGCCTGGTGAAAAATAAAAAAAGAATGAGACCAGTGCTTTCTGCAGACTAAATTTGTCATAGTTATAGGTTTATGTTAAGACTTTTGCGTCATTGTGAATGCATTTGTTATCCTGACGACTGAATTCACCCTTAAGAGTAGTTTTAATGAATTAATGCTCCTTTGTATTATTCACCGTAGTAAGCATGACATTTCTTTTTTTTTTTGTATAAACACAGTCAAATACATCTGCTTTGTTATGGTCATTAGCTTTTGGATTATGTCAACTCATTTTTTAAGAGTGTATGCGCTTAACTGGTTAGAGGCTAGAAACTGAACAGAGCCATATATAGACACTATTTGGCTGATGTTTTGACTGTTGGGCATTTCTCCAAGGTTAGAAGGTGCGAATGCGCTGCCAGTGTTTTCCTAGTTCTAGTAAATTGACAGCAAAAGGACACCTGCACTTGATTGGCATCTGTTTCTTTTTTTATATTTCTACAAAATGTCTGTTGAGTCCTGGGGAATGAAATAAGAAGAATCTGCCTGCAGCAGTCTTTGGTGAGCTGACACCCAGTTATTTGCTTTAATGTGTGATTTACCTTTAAGCATCAGCTCCACGCCCTATCAGGGTAGTTTAAACTAAACAGCTAATGATGAAACCTGATAGAGATAACCAGAAATAAAAAATACTTTCCATAATAGGCTATTGGGGAGTGCTGCAATTGCACAGGACAATAACAAATTTTTGACTACAAAATGGCCACTTCATCAAAACAGCTGGCCAGATAGCATTGAAACTGAAGGTTATATGCATAAACAAGATGGAAATAAATAAAAACAAAAAACAAAAAAAAACAAGATGGAAAGACTGACAATAAACAAGAATCAATTAATATCCAAATATTTGCACATTCATGTAGATTTACTGCTATTCTCTGTTTTATATCACAATAAAATTGATGTCTTTGTGGATAGACTGTTGAACTAAAAAAAATCTTTGTAAGTCACCTTGGGCTCTGGGCAATTATTTATCACTGGCTACTTCTTTTTTTTTCTTTTACATTTTATAATCCAATTTTATAATTGTTAGTTGCAGCAAAACAACTGAACAGTTTGTTTTACACTCTACAACTACAGATACAAACTACAGATATAATTTTATTTTATTTTATTTTATATTAGTGACAGATATAATTTTATTTTATTTTATATTAGTGAGAGCTTAAACCTGTACTAGGCACAGAAAACCCCGGCATCACGTTTCAGCTTTTCAGAAAGATTGATGAACGAAGCCAAAGCTAGTGGAGCAGAAGCTGCAGAAGAACGGAAGAAGTGGGGCAGGACATATGAAGGTCTCACAATAAATGATGCAGGCGGTGCTGCGTTACGCATGCTGTCTGTAAGCGCATTACAATTTTGGACACATTTTGATACACCTGAGGTCCTTAAAACTCAAGCACACATTATATAAACGGATGTGTCCTTTGGACTGAAGACGACACCCATGCTGTTGATACTGTAAAACACATTCTGTTGCACATGCTGACACACCCTCTTACACACTACAACTTTTGCTCATTGTCCTCTGCAGAACAACACAGTACTGTTAACAGACTGTAACTTTTGTCACTGTTACTGACTCACATCCACTTTTTTGCACGATCCCTTGTGGTCACACTCTGACCCGAACATTAATCTTGAACTCCGTTCCACTAAGCAAATCAAACTTTCCAATAACAGAAAAATGATTAGTATTTTTTTTGGTGGACTGGACAAAGACTCATTTTTTATGTCCTGAACTGTAACTCAAAGGTGGTCGGCACAAAATATCAGCACACACACACACACACACATTCTGAGACACACACACACTGTGTTTGTACTGCAGTGGAAAATCTTCACTACCACGGCGGCCGGTTGCCTAGCAACCCTGTGACGTCAAACCGAGTTTCCCTCTCACAGCTGTGTGTGTGTGTGTGTGTGAGACAGAGAGTCTTTAAGTTTATGAGTGTGTGTCCAACTCTTGTTTGTGTGTGTGTGTGTGTGTGATTTACCATGAGAGGGGAAACACCGGTCAATTCTTTATTTGGTGTTTCTGTGTGAGCTTGCTGGTAAGAGTGCCTGCATGTGCGTGTTCAAGTTGCCCCCCGGGCCATGGAGGAGTCAGGCTAGCCTGAAG